ATAAATTCAGGGGTTTATTTTATTCATATCCGATAGTTAAATCTTTATAATTTTTATCAGTTAAATTTTTATCATAATTCTTCATCATTATAAAAAATTTCAGATTTGCAATATGTTACCCACTTCAATTTCACAAATTGTCGTAGAATTATATTCCTTCATTGTAGGCTTTTCCCAACCACCAAATGGATATCCATATTCATTATAATCGTCAAAATTGTTTTTACCATCCAAATGGGAATACAAAAGTGGAGTATCGTTATATTTTCTAGTATTTCGTGTAATTTCGTGCCAATTATATTTATTTGTTATAAATCCAAAAGTCTGGTTTCTTTCTCTTAGAGTGTTGACCATTTGCTTAATTAATTATTATTAATGGGCAGCAAATTCGTGCTATCGGGACGTCTTATGAGAGATTTTTTCCAAAGATTTTGAGAGATCCCAAGGGATAATGAACATAAGGAGAAAAGACCCCCAAGTGAACCACCAGCAGCTGGATCTTTCTCTTCCGTACTCGATTAAATACTGTCAAGTATTATTAAATAAATTTTAAAATCCATACATCAATAGGCTCAATATTTAGAGTTTTGTTATATTTATCCCATCCAATATATTTATCCCATCCATTATATTTATCCCATCCATTATATTTATCACAGCCAACTAAACCATAAATATACAACCAAACCCTTCCAACCTTTGCATTACGTTCATCTAAATTATCGAGGATGCTTGTGATAAATTTTCTAAAAACAAATTAAATAATAAAGTAGTTAAAGCACAACAGTATTTTCTCTAAATAGTTAGAGAACTAAAAGGAAGCCGGGTCATTTTTATTTTTTTATTACTTTATTTATTTCCTTTCTACATCTTTAGGGATTTAGAAAAGCTCATTTCAAAAAAAACAGAACTGTAAGAACGTGGCTGGAACTGTACAAAATATCCGGAACCAAAACCCCTTAAATTATGCAGGAGGCAGTGTGTTTTAATGGATAATACACAGTCCAACTGAAGATGCTGGCCCACTCCCAGTCCTTTAACCTTTTAAAGGACTGGGACCTTTTAAAGGACTGGAGAAGAAATAGATATCCCAGTTAAGAATTATTATATGCAGATATTACCTAGCATCTCCACATAGTAATTGATAGGCAGGATAAGAAGAAGGATCAACACAGGGAGTAATATAAATATCTATATTTTCAATTCCTGCTGTTCTAGCATTTAATATATTTAATTCTGCATTGTCATCAATAGTTCCAATATTTTGATAATTGGCATTAATTATAATAAATTCGATTGAGTATTTTTCTTTTAAACATTTGAATTGCGAAATTCTAAATACCATATTTATTCTAGTAGAATGGCCCCTTTTTGGGAGTAATGAAAAATAGAATAGATGCCATTCTATTAGAATAAATACGGTATATTTTAATTAAAATTGTGTAAGGGAATATAAAAAATAGTTTTTACCTATACCATTTTTCCTGTATAGAAACTCCTTCACTTGTCATGACATTTTTAAAAATTGTTAAAAATAAAATGAACTCGAATAAAAAATAAATTTTGCTCATTTTGAAATTTGTATTATATTTTTATAAAATAAATTTGTATTTTTATAATTAAAAACAAAAATAGAACTTTTACTTTTTTTATTATTTTATATATTTATTTAATGTTTATTTGTTTCTAATAAAAGCTTTTACCCTAAACAGGTAACGCACTGAAACAGCGATAAAAAATTTAATTATGAAAATCCAACATCAATTAATTTAACATCTACAAACATATAACCAGACACAACGTAAACCGATACATATTAACTAGGGTTGAATTGATTAAATTTGATAATAATTTTCTAATCTTAGGAAAAATCCACAAAAATTCGTTCAAACATATCCATCGATACTAAGAAAAATAAAAAAGAACTAGGCCAATAACATATTTTAATTCCGAGATCTCGACTCACTGGAAATCAACGTAGAACAAGGGTAAATCTCTTTAAAAAAATTTCGACGCCTCATAAATTATTTTTAATTTTCATTTTGAGCACATTCGAAAGCCCTTGAAAGTTGCTACAAGATACCAAAATATTATTTTCCTTAATTTAAATTATTACTAATATGTAGATTCAAGAAACAAATGTTATTATTGTAATACATATGTAAAATGTGCAAATGTCACCGTCCAAATTATATTTTAGGACAAATAGTATTTGTCCGGCCTGATTCATTTGGCATTATGAGTATATACGAAAATCTATTATCATGCTAGAATTGTAAAAGATGTACCAATGTTTAATTATCTGTGGACCAGTAAACAGGGTACAGCCCGATTAGGCGCGGGCCAATTAGGCGCGACCGATTAGGCGCGACCGATTAGGCGCCGGCCGATTAGGCGCGCGGCCAATTAGGCGCCGGCCGATTAGGCGCCAAGCTTTTAAATTAAATAGTCTAATTATAGTCAATTAGAATGGTCCCATTGACCATCAAATGGAACCATTATGAATTATAAAACAAAAATTTTCCAAAATTAAAAAAACCGGCCTAACTACAGTTTCCGTACCAGACAAAATTGGACAATTTATATGTCATTCGAAAGAGCTCGACGAGCTGAGTTGAATGACACCAAAATCAACTCGATTGAATGATTATAAACAAGGTTATGACCAACTGAATCTTCGCTGGAAAAACTGTTTTTGTGCCGCTGCGGAGGAAGCCGGGCATGGTCTTCGCTACACGATGGCCGTGCTTCGCTGCGGTCGTGCTCGCTTCGCTCGCGGCGACCGTAGCGAAGCGGCGGCCGTCGTTCCGCTCGACATGCCCGGCTTCCTCCGCAGCGGCAAAAACTTTTTTCCGCGGAGGCCTTATGGAAGGGGGTGTTAATTAAAAGCTTGGCGCCTAATCGGCCGGCGCCTAATTGGCCGCGCGCCTAATCGGCCGGCGCCTAATCGGTCGCGCCTAATCGGTCGCGCCTAATTGGCCCGCGCCTAATCGGGCGTGTCCCCAGTAAACAGAACAGCACGCAATTGCGGATTGCGTTTGCGGAAAATTTTTATAATTTCGTGCATCCAAGTTAAATTTGAAATTTTTTTGAAGAGAATAGTAAAGAATTATTAGTTATCTAAATATTTTTCAAAAGAAATTATTGTTGTTTATTTATTTGTTTGTCTTTTTCAATTATATTATAGGAGATGTTAAAAATCAGAGTGGCTCTTCCAAAACAATACAATAAGGCGCAATCAGTCCTAACTGCAAGTCTTGAGTTTCACGCCAAAATGTCGCCTATTTACTTATAATTTTGATCTTAAAAGATGAAAGTGTCGAGGGTCTTTCGAGGAATTTTGGTCTCTGTTATGCTGGTCTCTATTACCTCTCTATTATGGTCTCTCTCTATTATAAATGGGTACACCCCGATGTACCGCGAGCCCAATGTACCGCCGAGCTATAACTTTGTTCAAAATTGTCGAATCCGTGGCGCCCCGGTATGGTTCGATGCGGCTAGACAATCTGAACCGAACCATACCAGGGCGACACGGATTCGACAATTTTGAACAAAGTTATAGCTCGGCGGTACATTGGGCTCGCGGTACACTGGCCTGCTCCCATTATAAATTAAATTTAATCTTTATAATTTTCTATTTTATTTTGTAAAACTAATTTTATTAAGTAAATAAATACTTAATTTTGTTCCTTTAAAAAAAAGGGAAGGGAATGACAATTTTCAATCTATTCAAAATATCCCATTCATATTAACAAACCATCTAAACGAACTAAATAACTTAAACGGGTGGCCCATTTTTGGCGGAGCGGGCCAGTTAAGTTAAACAGAAAGAATTTGACTCGTTTCCGCCAAAAAAGGGCATAGACAAATTATTTGTTAAATAATGTTGCGCAAAGGTAAAGGAAGTTGCGCGTGATTTAATACCTAAACAAAGTAAAAATAAATTTTTTTATTTTTCCACAAAAGTACAGCAGAGCGAACGAGATAAAATTTTGATATTAAGTATCGCAAACGAAAATTTTGAAAAATTTTTAAAGAAAAACGAAATTGCCAACAAATTAACTTTCAAACCCAAACCCTATAAATCGTAGCGAATTGAGCAAGTCTAACGCCTTGACACATGAAAGAAATTATAAGAATATTTTTCTCTTTTCTATTTCGAAATGTGCGGATTTTTCCAGATTTTTGGTTTTCTGATCGTTTGATGAGGAATCTTTTTAGAAATGCGGATTTGCGGATTTTTGTTTATTTTTAAGATTATGAGGATTTTTTTATATTTTCTTGTAGTTTTGAGAATAAATTGGCATTTTTTCTCTTAAAGCCTTCCAAAATTTTCAAAATTGTTTCTAAAAAAGTGAATTATTGGTGCCGAAATCGCTAAAAAAGTTCTTAAAATTTTTTATTTCTACCGAATGGAATTTATTAAAAGTTGAGAGGCGAAAGCATTAGCTCAGGTAAAGTGTAATTTTTTATTTAAATTGCTCAATTTAATTGATGGAGTAAAAAATGGTTTTAATTCAATTTTTGTTTGTTAAATTTCTGTACATTTTTTGTATAAAATGCGGATTTTTTAGATTAAAATTGCGGATTTTAAAAAAATTCGAGATCGAAACCCTGCTATTAATTCCAAATACAAGAAAGTATTTATTGAGAAATAAATTGAAAAAGATACATATTTTGGCTATTCTCCCTTATAAAATATTTTCTTTAAGCTTTTCTTAAATGATCATCTCAAAAAGAAGACGTATTATTCGAATTAGTATACCTTTTATTGTCTTAATTGTATCTACACTAATTATTTTTAATACTTTAATATTTATAAACAATGAAGATATTGGAGAACAAAATTTAAAATTATTTGAAAGTGAGAAAAATGTGAGAAATTCTTATTCAAAACTTTCTTAAAAGGTCAAAATAATCGATCCCTATCCCTATTAAAAACCCAATCCCTATTAATCCCTATATATCTGATCCCTATTAACTATTAACAAATAAGCCTATGTATATTTTTTTATCTTTATTTTCTTTTCAACATTTTTCCAGCAAAATATGGTGATGATAAATTACCGGGATGGCATAAGAGAATGGTAAAAAATAATTTTAAAAAATGTATTTTTTAGTGTTCCTATTAGCAGGCCTCCTCCAACTATTCTTATTTGGAATAAAATTTTTGGCGCTTCTCTAGCAGAAAGTTTGCTTCAATATAAAAATGATGGACAATGTTTTTATAAATGCATTTATACAGATAATCGTTCTCTGTATGTTTTGGTCTTATAATTTAGGAATACCAAACGGAGCGGAAATATCTATTTGAATTAAAGGTCATTTGAAAGAACTCGTAGAGCTGTGTCGAATGACACCAAATTCAGTCTGATTCGACGATTTTGAATAAAATTATGACTTACTGAATCTTCTCTGGAGGGCTAGGCCGGAAATCCGTAAAAAGGTATAGGTTTATGATACTAGTGAAGAACCCAGCAATATAGGTTACATTGACCATTTTGAGCCTGAGCTTTTTTAAGCTCAGAATTTAGACTCGAGCTTATTTTTATTTTGCTCGACTCAGCTCGAAGAGCTCTTTCGAATGACAATATAATTTAACAATTTAATACCAAAGACTTATATTTTTGAAATTTACGAAGCCCAAGAGACCCAACTCCTTCGTTCATTTATCCTTAAAAACTTTTAAATTAAAAAATTTTCAGAGAACAAACAGCTTCAATATTAGTTTTCCATATTCGTGATAATCTTGATAAAATGCCAGAACATCGAACACCTCAACAACTTTACACATTTTTTATTCTTGAATCTCCGCCGCATACTTGGGGACTAGGAAGGACAGTTCCTCCCGACTTTTTTAATATTTCAATGACTTATAGAGCAGATAGTGATGTATATTATCCTTATGATATGTTTGAGGAATATACTAAAAAAGATTTGGAAAGTGGATTAGTTACATATGATCAGATTTGGACTGAGAATGAGGTGAATAATTGATAAAATAATTTGTTTATTTTTTAAAGAAAATAAGACTATAGTATAATTGTTTTGCCCATCCAAATGGAAGTAAATAAGCGGAGTATCGTTATATTTTCTAGTATTTCCTGTAATTTCGTGCCAATTATATTTACGTGTCATAAATCCAAAATCTTGTTTTCTTTCTTTTAAAGTGTTGACCATGCCCTTAAATCAACGATTTTAGTCTTACTAAAATAATTAAATTTGCCTCAATAAACTCAACATTCGAGGTCTTGTTATCTTTATCCCATCCATTCAGGTTTTCACAATCATCCGCGCCATAAACAATATACAACCAAACTCTTCCAAATTTTATATTGTTATCATTTAAATAATTGAGTACTTTTGTAATTGATCCACTTAAATAATAAAAATTCTGAATTAATAAATTTAAAATTTCTTCAAAAATTTTTGGTCGAAAACCAATTGACGCATGGCTAGAGTTGGTTTTTTCCTTTACCGTTATGTAAAGCATAGCAACCGTAATTACTCTAATTGAGGCCCATCTCTTGTAGAAGCCCACCTCTAATATAAGCCTATCTGAGGGGACCCATTGAAAAATATAAGCCTAGGGCTATAATTAGAGTATTTACGGTATTTACTAATTCCTAAGGCTGTACAGTAGGCGGCGTGGTGTAATTGATAACAGATCAGTCCGGCCTACTGAAGATGCTGGTTTGCTCCCAGCCGCCGAATAACCTTTTGCCATAGCTAAAGGAGAGAAATAGCTATAGCCCAGCTGCTTTACTGGTATTACTGAAATGGTTCGGCACTAAGAATCGAGCTATAAAATTTATTCAAGTTTACCTAGCATTTCCACATAATTCGTACTCAGTAGAAGGCTTAACACAAGGAGAAAAATAAATATCTACATTCTCAATCCCTGCTGTCCTCGCATTTATTATATTTAATTCTGCATTTAAATTAGCTTCTCCAGAGTCGTAATAATTAGCTGAAACAATAACAAATTCCTTTGAATCTTTTAAACATTTGAATGTTGAAACTCTAAATGTTAAAGATTGTAAATTTTGGGTTAGGTTTGATCAAAAAATTTTTTGATATAATTTTTTAGGAGAGACAGTCGTGATGAATCTCCTTATGAGAAAAGTGGTGCTAAATTTGTATCATATAATGAGGTGTATAGAGTTTATCGCTTGGCCCCATCCAACTAAGGATGTATATAAAATAGGCTCATTCAACCAGAACTCCTTCAACCAATCATGCTATATAAGAACTCCTTCACTCCCATTAATATAAAATAAGGACGTACATAAAATATAAATTTTTAGAAGAGATAGTCGGATGAATCTCCTCATAGGACAACTGGTGCTAAATTTGTATCCTATAACGAGGTGTATATTAAATAGAGGGCATCGCTTGGTTCAGTAGAAGTGGCTCCATCAAACTAAGGACGTACCTAAAACAACTGTGTAACCACCTCAATACTGCTAATACTTTTCATAATAATTAATAAATATTTTTACCTATACCAATCATGCCATATAAGAACTCCTTCATTTGCCTTGACATAATTTTTAAAAAATAAAATGGGGGAAAGTAAAAGAAGGAGATAATTTACTATATTTTTCATTTTAAACTCAATTAAAAGTAATTATAAAAAAATGCTAAAAAGATTTTTTATGTTGAATAAAAATAGACTAGTAATAGTACATATAAACATATCTGGTTATTATTTATTGTCCTGCATAGTTTTATATTTTGAATTACCCAAAACACGTATAGCGAACTGTAACCGCGACAGATATAAAAAGATTATTTAATTTATAAAATATTTTGGAATGTTAAAGTTCAAAGTTTCACGAAATAGATAGAAAAAATACTTTCACCTCAGCTATAATTAGTAAAGTTAAATAGAATATAAAAGACTTCTAAATCCAATTTCAGATGCCTAAGAACCAGAGGTGGTCGGAATTCCTATTTCCGACCTCCATTTCCGATGTTTTTTTTTCCGATTTCCGAAAAAAATTTTGATTTCCGATTTCCGAGTTCCGACTTTTGAGCCAGTTCCGATTTCCGGCTATCTGACTGTTCCGACCCACCTCTGCTAAGAACTCGAGACGAGCTATACACAATCTTTCAATGATATGTTAGAAAATAAAAATGTCAAACCACAAACAGAAAATTTCTATGATTAAAAACCCTTCTGATTTTGGCTGGTCGGTTCTAAGAATGAATCTTCGATTTGATTACGAACCGACAACTTACCCTTAAAAGTAGTGTTCAGCAAATGGATTTTTCCAATACCAACACTAGTCGTACCAAAGGTACTAATATTGAAAAGTACTGTCGAAAAATTTACGGTAGTACCGCGGTACTTGGGTATTCACAGCAAAATGATATAATAAAAAATATCATTGTTTAAGCATTTTTAGTGACTAAATTCAATCCAGGATTAGGTTTAAGAGATGAGAATGCTTTGCAACATTATTCTAGCCAGGAGATTTGGCATATCGTCTATCAAGAACGATCAAGGAGGATATTGGTAGTTTTGTAGAGATATCAGTTGATTTGATGAAAAAATCCACCGATATACCAAGGATTAATGGGGAAATCGTTGGATTTGGAGAGTTAACGGAAGATAAAAAGAGTTTCTATAAAAAGTTTCTTAACTCATCTTAATTAAGGTGGTTTTAAACTCATCTCTTAAGGTGGTAGAATAAATTCAGGGGTTTATTTTATTCATATCCGATAGTTAAATCTTTATAATTTTTATCAGTTAAATTTTTATCATAATTCTTCATCATTATAAAAAATTTCAGATTTGCAATATGTTACCCACTTCAATTTCACAAATTGTCGTAGAATTATATTCCTTCATTGTAGGCTTTTCCCAACCACCAAATGGATATCCATATTCATTATAATCGTCAAAATTGTTTTTACCATCCAAATGGGAATACAAAAGTGGAGTATCGTTATATTTTCTAGTATTTCGTGTAATTTCGTGCCAATTATATTTATTTGTTATAAATCCAAAAGTCTGGTTTCTTTCTCTTAGAGTGTTGACCATTTGCTTAATTAATTATTATTAATGGGCAGCAAATTCGTGCTATCGGGACGTCTTATGAGAGATTTTTTCCAAAGATTTTGAGAGATCCCAAGGGATAATGAACATAAGGAGAAAAGACCCCTAAGTGAACCACCAGCAGCTGGATCTTTCTCTTCCGTACTCGATTAAATACTGTCAAGTATTATTAAATAAATTTTAAAATCCATACATCAATAGGCTCAATATTTAGAGTTTTGTTATATTTATCCCATCCAATATATTTATCCCATCCATTATATTTATCCCATCCATTATATTTATCACAGCCAACTAAACCATAAATATACAACCAAACCCTTCCAACCTTTGCATTACGTTCATCTAAATTATCGAGGATGCTTGTGATAAATTTTCTAAAAACAAATTAAATAATAAAGTAGTTAAAGCACACCAGTATTTTCTCTAAATAGTTAGAGAACTAAAAGGAAGCCGGGTCATTTTTATTTTTTTATTACTTTATTTATTTCCTTTCTACATCTTTAGGGATTTAGAAAAGCTTATTTCAAAAAAAAACAGAACTGTAAGAACGTGGCTGGAACTGTACAAAATATCCGGAACCAAAACCCCTTAAATTATGCAGGAGGCAGTGTGTTTTAATGGATAATACACAGTCCAACTGAAGATGCTGGCCCACTCCCAGTCCTTTAACCTTTTAAAGGACTGGGACCTTTTAAAGGACTGGAGAAGAAATAGATATCCCAGTTAAGAATTATTATATGCAGATATTACCTAGCATCTCCACATAGTAATTGATAGGCAGGATAAGAAGAAGGATCAACACAGGGAGTAATATAAATATCTATATTTTCAATTCCTGCTGTTCTAGCATTTAATATATTTAATTCTGCATTGTCATCAATAGTTCCCACATTTTCATAATTGGCATTAATTATAATAAATTCGATTGAGTATTTTTCTTTTAAACATTTGAATTGCGAAATTCTAAATACCATATTTATTCTAGTAGAATGGCCCCTTTTTGGGAGTAATGAATAATGAAAATACCGTATTTATTCCATTCTATTAGAATAAATACGGTATATTTTAATTAAAATTGTGTAAGGGAATATAAAAAATAGTTTTTACCTATACCATTTTTCCTGTATAGAAACTCCTTCACTTGTCATGACATTTTTAAAAATTGTTAAAAATAAAATGAACTCGAATAAAAAATAAATTTTGCTCATTTTGAAATTTGTATTATATTTTTATAAAATAAATTTGTATTTTTATAATTATAAACAAAAATATAACTTTTACTTTTTTTATTATTTTATATATTTATTTAATGTTTATTTGTTTCTAATAAAAGCTTTTACCCTAAACAGGTAACGCACTGAAACAGCGATAAAAAATTTAATTATGAAAATCCAACATCAATTAATTTAACATCTACAAACATATAACCAGACACAACGTAAACCGATACATATTAACTAGGGTTGAATTGATTAAATTTGATAATAATTTTCTAATCTTAGGAAAAATCCACAAAAATTCGTTCAAACATATCCATCGATACTAAGAGAAATAAAAAAGAACTAGGTCAATAACATATTTTAATTCCGAGATCTCGACTCACTGGAAATCAACGTAGAACAAGGGTAAATCTCTTTAAAAAAATTTCGACGCCTCATAAATTATTTTTAATTTTCATTTTGAGCACATTCGAAAGCCCTTGAAAGTTGCTACAAGATACCAAAATATTATTTTCCTTAATTTAAATTATTACTAATATGTAGATTCAAGAAACAAATGTTATTATTGTAATACATATGTAAAATGTGCAAATGTCACCGTCCAAATTATATTTTAGGACAAATAGTATTTGTCCGGCCTGATTCATTTGGCATTATGAGTATATACGTAAATCTATTATCATGCTAAAATTGTAAAAGATGTACCAATGTTGAATTCTTTGTGGACCAGTAAACAGAACGGCACGCAATTGCGGATTGCGTTTGCGGAAAATTTCTAAAATTCGTGCATCCATGTTAAATTTGAAATTTTTTTGAAGAGAATAGTAAAGAATTATTAGCAGTGCTGGGTATAGCTCCGGGAGTTAGCTCCGGAGCCGGCTCCGGCGGAGCCGGAGCTAGGATTTTGGAAACCCCGGAGCTGGAGCCGGAGCCAAGAATTTGAAGTGCCCGGTTTTTTCAGTTACATTATAGGAGATGCTAAAAACCAGGGTGGCTCTTCCAAAACAATACAATAAGGCGTAATCAGTCCTAACTGCAAGTCTTGAGTTTTTTTAACAGGGTATTATAACAGGGTATTAATGATTCAAACTTGGGTTGAACCCGGTCATCAATCGGTACACCCAGTTTTCGTTTCCGGTTTATGACTGATCCTCGGTTTTTGGTGAACCAAAACCGGAATTTTGACATAATTTTTCACAAGGTTATCCTATTTTTTGAAATGGTTGGCCGTTACTTTTGTGGTGTAGTGTATTTAATCCATTCAAGCCATCTTTTTTTCTCCTCACGCCTACCATCCTTAATTTCTCATTTGTTTCACCGATCAGTAGGGGTATACACTGCGTAACAAAAAGATGGCACATCACGATTTTTCGTCATAACTCAATGAAAAAGTGGCCATTTAGTTTGAAATTTTTTTTGTAGTTAGTTTTGCTAAATAAAATGCCAATAAGAAAAACTGCGCGTCAAAAAATTTTTTTTTGAATTTTTTATAAATTTAAATCCATTTTTTCGCTGTAACAAAAAGATGGCACATTTTTAGTTTTCTTAATCTTTCTTTTAATTTTAGGGAAAATATTAAAATGCCTTCGGGTAAATATCTTTCTGAATTTGAAAAAGGTCAAATTGTTGCATTAAATAATGAAAATTTGACCATTGCGCAAATTTCCAGCCGTCTAAATCGTTCGAGAAAGGTGGTCTCAAATTTTTTGAAATTAAATGATAATTATGGCAAGAAAAAAAGTCCAGGGCGTCCCAAAGTTATAAATGAACGTCAGAAAAGATCAATCTTGCGGGAAATTTCCAATTCAACCAAGGGAGTTCGTCGAGTTAGAGATGAATTGTTGCCAGACGTTTCCCATATGAGTGTCTGGAGACTTATTAACTCTTCACCCACCATAGGTTTAGAAAGTTTTAGCTTAAATATAGCGTTATACATATAGCTAGACAAAGGATGAACATCTGTCCTCCATTAAAACCAGAACATATTGCAGCTAGAGCCAAATTTGGGGATGATTGTATGACATGGAGTCGGGAATGGCAATCGGTGATTACATATTAAGTTCTTTTTAAATAATTTCCCAAAAAGATTGTTTTCACTGATGAAAAACGGTTTTGTCTCGATGGTTGTGATGCACATACACATTATTGGAGAGATTTGAGGAAAGAAGAGAGATTTTTTTCGAAGAGACAGTTCGGAGGGGGATCGTTGATGGTCTGGGCTGGGATTTCCGGGCTTGGAAAGACCGAATTAGCTTTTTGCCCGAATAAAATGGACTCAATAGGTTATCAAAAGATATTGGCAGATACACTCGTACCGTTTTTGAACCGGTTTCCGCACATAGACTGGACTTTACAACAAGATAATGCAGCTGTACACGCAAGCAAATCCGTTTTCCAAGGAGTTGTGTCGAAAAAACATAATGTGCCATCTTTTTGTTACGCAGTGTATAGCCGGAGCCTCTTAAAAACTCGGGACCAAGACTTTACCCCATGACCAAAATCAAAAAACCCAAGAACATTCTTGAGTCAAAACTCCGATAAGTTTAAAATCTTTGAATATATTCTAAAAATAGAAAAGTATGCAATTTAGTTTGTTTTTATCAATTTTTATAATAACTTTTATCAAAAATATATCCAAATATAAGTTTAAAATGAACTATTTAAATCTTATTCTAATATTTTCCCCATTTTATTCCTCATAATTTTTAAAATTTAAGTCAATGTAAGCGGAGGAGGTATTATGTGGAGTGATTGGTATAGCTAGGAATATTCAAAATTATTATTGAAAAATGTTTATCCCGAATATATATAAAGTTATAATTACACCATTTAAGATTAGGATTGTCGGTTTCACTAAATTTTTCGGTTATCCGAAACCGAACTGAAATTTTTGGTGAATAAAATGACATTATTCACAAGAGGGGGAATAATAGTGCTCGGCAAAATCATTGTTCCGGGCCCAGAAACCGGATTTTGTTTAAATTGTCCTCAGGCTGACATTATCAGCGTGCAGTTTAGCAACTTTAATTTTACAAATCGTCTCAGAATTATATAACTTCATTGTAGGCTTTTCCCAACCACCAAATGGATAGTCGTACTCATTATAATCATCAAAATTGTTTTGCCCATCCAGACGGAAGTAAATAAGCGGAGTATCGTTATATTTTCTAGTATTTCCTGTAATTTCGTGCCAATTATATTTATCCGTGCTAAATCCAAATGGTTGGTTTCTTTCTTTTAGAGTGCTGACCATTTCCTTAAAATTATTACTATACTACATAACAAGTGACACTCACAAACTATTTCCAAAAATTTCATAGTTTAGAGTAGAGTACGTCCGGGTCGAGCGAGTTCGAGTATACTCGACTCGATCGCTCGGGTTTTTTCGTCTTTACTCGGGCTCGGGACTTGGGATCCTAAAACTCAGCATTACTCGTACTCGGAAACTTCATACTTGATACTCTAGTTTAGAGAAAGGTTTTCCAGAGTAGGCTTAGAGCCGGGATTTTTTAAGAGAGACTACTGAGGCAACTACTAACTACGGAGAGAATTCGAGTTCTGGTTCAATTATTAAATAAATTAAAAAACATCTTTACATCAATAAATTCAATATTTTCAGTTTTGTTATCTTTATTCCATCCACTAAATTTTTCACAGCTAATTAAACCTTGAATAGCTAGCCAAACCCTTTCAACTTTTGCATTATTTTTATCTAAATGATCGAGGATGTGTGTAATAGATTCTCTGAAATAAATGTAAAATACGATACATTGTACCAAAAGTAATTTGGATTAACTCGGAGTTTAAATTAATTTGCGACTAAATATATTTCCCGAAAAATTGATTAACCGCGAGAGTGATCAACATTGAAATTGATCAATTGGGAGTTGAAAAACAATTTTTTATCACTTTGATTTCAGTTTTAGATAAGATTTGTTTTTCTCGCTTGGTGACCAAAATTCCTAATGGTGACCAAACTTTAAGACTTGGTGACCGAAATTCCGCTAGTGACCAAAATTCCAAAAAAAATTGGTGACAAACGTTCCAAAAAATCTTGGTGACCAAAATTTCAGAGACCAAAATTCCGGTACCCTCCCGACTCGGGAAAATTTCCCAAGATTTTGGCCTCTCGATCCCGACTCCCGAGGTCATTTCCCGATCCGACTCCCGTTTTCCGAGTTTTTTCTTCTCCCGAACATCACTAATCTATATTTACAAATTTACCTAGCATTTCCACATAATTTGTACTCAGAAGAAGGCTTAACACAGGGAGCAATGTCAATATCTACATTTTCAAAACCTGCTGCTCTAGCATTTATTATATTTATTTCTGCATCTAAATTAACTTCTCCTGTATCATAATTATTAGCCTCAACAATAACAAATTCTTTTGAATATTTTTCTTTTAAACATTTGAATGTTGAAACTCTAAATATTTTAATTAAAATCGAGTAATTCTCAAGGAATATATAAAAATACTCGGTACCTATACCAAGTTCCCCATATGTTAACTCCTTCACTTGTCTCGACAATTTGAAAAATTGTGAAAAATAAAATGGACTTGAATATAAGCAACAAATAAATATTGCTCATTCTGAATTCTTTTAAATTTTTTATTTTTTTTAGAAATAAAAACAAAATAGATTTTTTCTTTTTATTAATTCTATTTAGGTTTATTTTTAATAAAATGCTTTAGCGATATAGCGAACTGAAACTGCGACGAAAGATAAAATGATTAATTATTAAAATATTTTTGTAATGCTAAAGTACAAAGTTCTACAAAATTAAATAGAAAAAATAAAACTTCATGCAAGCTATAATCAGGATATAAGACCTGAAATTGGAGCTCTAAATCCAATTTCATGCGCCTACGAACTCGAAAAAAAGCTATTTATTGTCTTCTACAGTAAGGTTGGCGGATATTTGGAAATCTTCTGATCCGATATCCGAACCGAAAATTTCGGATATCCTGTCTTTTTTCGGATCCGGATATCCGGACTGCGGATTTTTTAGAACCAGTGTTGCAGATTACCGTCTCAAGATAATACCCCTTCATCACCGAAAAATAATAATTAAAAAATTATTGAATTGAATGAACATATTTTCTAAAAATTGAAAAGATTTTAGTTGATAGAAACGTCATTCAATTAGAATAAATACGGTAAATAAAGCATAAGAATTAGAAAGGTTTTTTGTTCCTCATACTTTTAAGGTTTTAATTAATTTTTTGAAAATTTCTTGAGTAAGTTGGAAATATTTAAAATAATGTATATTAAAGCTTAAATTAAAATATGCAAATAAACAAAAGGTAAAAAATTTACTAGAAATGCTCCATATATAAAATTACATTTTGTATTAACCTTAAGTTTACATTTTCTCTCACAAACAAACCTAATCTATAAAAAGTATTTTTCTAATTTTTGGGAAGGGAGTTCACTATGAGCTCCCGTATTAATTGAATATTTAGCAAGAGGTGATTTTTCGTGGATTTTATTTAGATCCGGCTGTCAGGATTGAAGTACGATATAGATATTTCAAAAAAATTTTGTATCGATAACAATAAATTAGAACCGATCTATTCTGTCTAACCTACATTTCGAGATTTCTCTAAATTTTCATTAAAAATTTGTATATTAAAATAAAAAAGAAAAAGCCTATTACAAAATTTTTTCAATATTTTCAACATACATAAATATTAGAGTTTCACCGGAAGTTCCGGTTCCGGTTCCGGAAAGTTCCGGTGTTTTTTTGGTTCCGGTTCCGGGAACCGGAACCCATATTGGATCCGGTTCCGGTTCCGGCTCCGGTTTTCAAATCGGTTCCGGGCAAACGGAACTTTTTTACACCCCTAAAGATTGATTTTTTTAAAAAAATATTAATAAACTACTCGTACTCTCATACTTGTAATAAAAAAATCGAAAGAAATATGTTTATTTTCTTTCAATAGCATTCTGATGAGCGGGTGTCCGAGTGGTTAAGGGTTTAGGCTTCACTCAAGGCGTTAGTGATTTTAAGTTGGGTTCGCTTCCCGGTCGTAGGACAATAACTCTTAAAATTTTTCTTTCAACAAATAACTCATTTATTGAGTTTAATTTTGTTTTAAAAATCATTATATTTTTACATGGAGTAATTACGGTTTTTTGGACCTCTAAAATTCTTAAAATTTTTCGTATGACTAATAAATGATGAATTTTGCTGCTTACAGCCTTAAGAAATTTTCACAATTTTCGCCTGCGGCGCTGAAAAAGATAGTTGAATGGTATAACGGATGATTTGGATGGATCAATGTGGATTTTGAATTATATAGTGTGACATCAATGGGCCTATATCCTTCTTTACTTCCTTATCCCCATAAAACGTATATCGCTCCTTCTTCCACTGATATCCCTTAAACCCCCTTACAATTCTGAATCCTTATATCGTCCGATATCAAACACTTATACCACCAAATCCGTTCATACACCACTCTCTAACCCAAATATATCACTTATCGTCGACGACGATTTTCGGTTCGGTTTTGGTTAATCAAAAGTCTCGGTTCGGTTCGGTTTTGGTTAACCGAAGAAGTTGGTGAACAGTCAACTCTACTTAAACTACAAATTTTTTAAAATTTGTTAGAAAAAATTTTTTTAAAAGTTCCGGTTCCGGTTCCGGGCCGGAACTTTGAACAGTTCCGGTTCCGGTTCCGGAAACCGGAACTCAAATTGGATCCGGTTCCGGTTCCGGTTCCGGTCAAAATTTCGGTTCCGGTGAAACACTAATAAATATGTAACAGATTTTTATAAATTTAACAATAGAATAATAATTAATACAAAAATTAAAACAAAAGTAAAAATGTTTAATATATTAAATTACATTTTATATTTATTATATATCATACAAAGACTTTTACGTGGAACTCTTATTTGTGTATTTGAAGGGTTGTGTTTGAATTAAGTGCCAACAGGCCTTGTCGATTTGGATTTGTCGAAAAATTTGAATATATGTAGGTACAGAAAATTTTTGAATGGATCTCATTTTGGCATATCGATATTTCTTATATTTTTCGAAAATTTTAAAAGAACAAAAAGAAAATTGTAATTACAAAAAGCTACAAAAAACTGGGGCCTTGTTTTCGAGGTTTGAAAAAGAGTTTTTAGGAAAAATTAGAAAAATTAAGGGAAACATGAACGTCCCAAAAGTTTTTTTAGAAAATTATTGAATTTCACAATAGTCAATAAATTCTTCAATAAATAAAATTTTATTTTTTGCTAATAAGTCAAGTCATGAGCTTTTCTAAATTAATTTTTGTTTTTAATTGAATAAACAAAAATAATAAATTTTAGCAAAAAATTGCCGTTTTAAATACAAAAATAGAAAATGTACCCTTCAAAACTCAATTTTTTGATTAAAAATATCCAGTTGTTTAAATATTATTAAATAAATTTTGTATCTGATGTTTGGGGGGAATTCTTAAAGTAAAAAGTACATATTAGACAATATAAATACAGTTAGGGGGAGTTAGGTAATAAATCATTTTAATTAATTAAATCTTCCCTTGAATTCTTAATATATTTTTTTATTTTAAAGTAAGAGCGAGATAAAAGTTTAATACCGGGCAGGCTTAGATCCTGCGACCTCCTAGCAGTTATTGATAGGCGCTTTCACTCACCACGTACAGGTGCTCTACTAACTGAGCTACCGGGACGGTACTTTCACCTTCTTTTTTAATAGATCCAGCTGGATCCTTCTCTTCCTTACATTAAAAATATTTTTGGAGGAATTATTAATTATAGAAAAATTTTATTCCCTAATCAAGAAAATATTAGACAGCCTTTTACATTTTTCTTTATCAATTTATAGGCAATTTGACTGAAATTGGGTGCTCTTTTTAATTCATATCGAACTGGATTTTCTTACAAACTGACTGATTTATCTAATTGCTCGAGTTAATTATTCCCTACAATTAAAAAAATAAAGACAAACTAAAAAATTTTAAACAGGAATCTTACATAACTGTAGGTATTTGCAGATCGAGAAAATCCTTGATGATAGATCGGTAGGGATTTTCTGGGTACTAGATTAGTTTATGGGCAGTCTTAGGTGTCCATATGCCTCAATTGAGTGAGTCACAATCGACGGATAAAAAATTAAAATCAAAAAGAGATTTGGGGTTTAAAAATTTTTAAATTTCCCATGCGGGCGTTAAAAACAAGTTTTTGGCCTTTTAAAACATTGGGTTTGAAATATTTCTTCCATGACTTGTCCAATCACTTGGCTAAGGGACAAGTCTTCTAAAATCTTTATCTAGTGCTTCATATTTATTAATTTACTAGCAATTTAAACATTTTTAATTTGCAAACTAATTATTTTTAAATTTTTATTTTATTTTGATTCAAATAGAAATTTTTTTTCGATCATCCCATATTACAACATTTTTATTATTTTAATTGCCAATTTAAGAATTTAAATTAAAAAATGTTTTCCTCCCCAACAAAAATTTGCTTGCTTTTTCTTTCAATTTTTATATTATTCCAATTAAACAATGGTGAAGGGTTATGTGTTGGTAAAGGATATGTTTGTGGTAGTGGTGGACGTCAATGTTGTGACAAATTAATTTGTAACGGAGGTGAATTTTGTATACGAAACAAATAACGAGAAATCGTCTTGAAAGGAGATTTAATTATAAATATACTTTTTTAGGTTCATGTGATGATTGCCCTCCTTTAGGAGCACATTGTACTGAGGATATTAACTGTTGTGCAGGCCAAAGCTGTCAACGTAAATTTTAAATATTTGAAATAATTAAATATAACGAAAAAATGTGATATTACTTATAGACACCGAAAAATATAATAATACCGATGATAATTGTCGGTATTTATCGGCATCCTTATGGTAGTACAATACGGAAAATGAAATTAAGAACGATATAAATTTTCAGTTTAACGATATTTATCGTATTTGGATCGGTATTGCGTTCGGGGAGGCAGCGCCAAGGGGGGAGAGCGGGGACGGGGAAAATTTTTTCTTTTTACGGGGGAGGGAGGGGGGACGGGGAATTTTCAAAAAATGTCTCAAATTCCCCGACTTTTGGGGACGGGGACCAACCCTACTCTTAGTTATAAAATTCCGGGCTTTTGCAATATCAGAAAATGAAACGTCATTATTGTAGCTCTGTACCAAAATTATAATTCCAGCCCTATTTATGTACCAGGGCTGTCCAATACCAAAAATTTCTCAAGACTTAAGACCAAGAGCCTTGGATAGCTCTATTATGTACCTATATACTTTCAGACTCACAATGTCATACCTGTTTGGGTAAAGGAGCAACATGTGAGCCGAAAAATAATCCGAAAAATGATAGATGTTGTGGATTTTGTGTTAAAGGAATTAATCGTTGTAAGTGAAATGAGAAAAATGTTGTGGAATGAGAGGTGCCGTTTATA